CCCTAAACCCAGTCTCCTCTCCCCAAAGAAACCATACATTTACATATGAAAGATAAACCTACATAATGCCTAGAAGAAAACACCAGAGAAAAATCTTGCTAACCTTGAGGCATACATGGTTTTTGTAGGTTTTTTTAGGTTAGCCATAGAAGATTAAAACCTGATATATTAGACCTTATCAAAATGTTAAAATAGGCTCTTCAAAATACAAAACTAACCAGCACCAATTCCATTTATGAGGTATAAATGGAATAAAAACAGTCAAACCATGAAGATGGACTGGAATGGTGGTTGCTTAGGGCCAGGAGAAGGAAGCAGGGAGTGACCATGCAGCAGGTGTAAGGTTTCAGTCAGGACAAAAGAGTAAGTTCTAGAGCTCTGTCCCCCTTTGTGCCTAGAGTCAAGGAGAGCACACAGTCCACTTCCAAACATGTTAAGAGGAGCTCTCATGTTAAAGGTTCTTACCACAATAAAAGAAGAATGTAAAAAGGCAAGCCATGGGCCGAAAGAAAATATTTGCAATGCATAGATAGACATTGTGAGACATGGCTAGAGCAATAGCACAGCAGGTAGGGCATTTGCCTTGCATGTGGCCGACTCTGCCAACCCAGGTTCGATTCCTCCACCCCTCTCAGCGAGCCCGGCAAGCTACTGAGAGTATTTTGCCCGCATAGCAAAGCCTGGCAAGCTACCCGTGACGTATTCGATATGCCAAAATACAGTAACAACTGTCACAATGGCAACGTTTCTGGGCCCACTCGAGGAAATTGATGAACAACAGGAGGACAGTGACAGTAACAGTGACAGTGACATAGAAAGACATAGAACTTAAGATGGTTCAGTTTTACAGTGGTGCCAACATGGAATGTACCAAGCAGAACATGTACTTCCGTTTTGATCTTTTCCCAAGTTGGTGGCACGTCCTATGATATTCTGTCACAGTGACACAGGGCAGAGAGGACCCACAATGCTAATCTGCCCTGAGATTCTCAGTGCACTGGACTGTCAGTGTGTTTGGGGGGTTGTGCTTTGCACTTTTGCATCTCAGCACGTCTATAAGAGGTTCACCACGTCTCCTGCTTCTGATGAGAAGAGGCAGGCAATTAGCCTGCAGCTGATAATTGAGCTGAGTGTCCAACTGTTGGCTAATGAAAGTCCTGGGAGTATGTTCAAAGTTGGTTAGCCGGTGAAGTGAGTGCATTCTGCACTAAGCATATTTTCCATTTATGATGGGTTTACTGGAACTTAGCCCCATTGTAAGTCTGGGAACATCTGTATCCAAAAAAGTTTTATTCAGATAGAAGACAATGGAAAAACTCTTAGGATTCCATCAAACAAACAATAAGAAATAGATATTTCATAAAACTTGGTTGATCAAAAAAGCACCCAAAAAGATGCTTAACACCATTTGTCCTCAGAGAAGCACAAACTCAATCTACAGAGGTGCCACCACAAACCCACTGGAGCGGCTACAATAAACAAAACTGTCAAGGCCAAGTGCAATGCCTAGCAACCAACCTGACCTCTCTGATGATAGCACAGCAGGGCAGCCACTTGGGGGCAAAGTTCAGCCCTTTTCTTATAAAGTTCACTTTCCCATACAATTATTTAGCAGTTCCACTTGTAGGTATTTGCCTGGTTTGAATGAAAATGTATAATGCACAGAGATGCATGAGAATATTCATAGTGGTCCTAGTCAAAACTGATGGACTGGGGTGGAAGTTTCCAAGAACTGGAGTCCAAGCTTGGCTTCAATCCTGGTGCTGCATCGTTCCTTAAAGTGTGCAGTGACACCCCCCAAAATAAAAATAAAACTTGCAGATTTCTAGTCATAAAAATGGAAAGGTGTTAGGGGACAAATATTGATTCACATGACAGCACGAATGAATGTGAAATGAACTATCAAAGAAGCCAGACTCAGAAGACAACATTGGATATGAATCCATTCACAGGGCATTCTTCCTGGAAAAGACACAGTTGTAAGTAAGGGCAGATATTCTGTGCCTAGAAATGGTTGCCAGGGGTGGAGAGTGATGGGAGGGGTTGACTGCATAGGGTCAATCAGGAATTTGTATTGTTTTTTTGCTTTTTTTGGGGTCACACCCGGCGATGCACAGGGGTTACTCCTGGTTTTGCACTCAGGAATTACTCTTGGCATATGGGATGTTGGGAATCGAACCCAGGTTGGTTGACTGCATGCAAGGCAAACGCTCTACCCTCTGTACTATTGCTCCAGCCCCAGGAATTTGTTTTTAAGTATTGAAATTCTTGTATATCTTGACTTCATGTTGTTGATTTCATGACTATATGTGTTTTTGTCAAAACCTGTAGAACTAGACACTAAAAATGGCAAATTTTATTGTAAATAGCTTGTACCTCAATTTTTTAAAATGGCCTGGACTCGGGAATTAGTGAAATGAAGTCATAGGATGGTACAGTGTTCACAGAATCTTACTTGATTGCGAGTATTTATTTTATGGTAATGCCCCCTCATTAGCCCATTTCTTAATTTCCAACAGCCCCCTCCCACACACCCTTGAATAAATTGCACATAAACTAAAAGTGAAAATAAGTTGCACATATATTTTAAAAACCATAAACATGTCACAAGACGATTCTCTCCCCTTCTCTCTGGAAGTAGGAAGGACCTTCCTCAGCTAGGCACAAACACTAGCTCCAAGGTTCTCACTACGGCACAAGCAAGTCTTTCTTCCTTCGGAATTACCAGCACGGCAGGGCATTTTGCTCTGTGCTCTGTTTCTTAAAGAAAATGCTAATGGTGTGTGCTTCTCGGTCCTAGCTTGTATTTAAATTTGAAAGTGACTCGGCACAGTCCACAGCAAAATGGAAAAACATGTTCGTCGGTGTCATGAGCACAGAGAAAGCACTAGGAACCAGTGATGTCCCCCCCGGTGAATCCCAAGCCAGACTCAGCCATAACACAGTCACACCAGAGTACTCGGCACAACCTCGTGGGCCACAGAAGCAGTCATTCCTGCCTCTTCCTCACACCTGAGCAAATTCACGTTAACATTTCTGGGAGGCTGTTTATGATACCCAAAACAGCGGCCCTCCCTTCCCTGCCAAACCCCACCACCCATGAAATTCCATTTCGCAGACTTTTTCTCCCTCTGCTGAACTAAATCATGACCATAATTAAAATTCACTTTCCCCCCTTTTCTGTGTGTCCAACAGGTTTTTTTTTTCAAGAAAAATACACACACCTGGAATCTATGGAGTTTGGGCAAAAATTCTTCACAGAGAAAACACTGGCCCTGCCGTTTCTTCGGTGTTTTTCAATAACGTAATCAGTTCTATCCCCTTTGGATGAAAGTCACCTTGCAGGGATGTGGGAATGATAAAAGCTGAGGAACCTGATCAGGGCTGGCATTTAGCTGAGGCCCTGTAAAACAATACAACCCTGAACAGCTACAAAATTTGGCTGCTTTTTGTTTTCCAGCTTTGCATTTGAAGTGTGGAAGCAGCCAAACCAAGCAAGGGCCAGCGCATTTTATGACTTAACCAAACAAAACTCTGAGACACTAAGTACTGGACCCCTCATCCTTTGGAAATAAACTCACATTGTCATGTAAATGAAAAAAAATGATCACATCAAATGTGACCGTTTTTTCTATTAATTATTAGGCACTTAATAAATTGCTAATAATGAAGAAAGCAGCACATATTGGCATACATATAGCTGTAGGAAGTTATCCTTCTAGGCTTGCCTCTTAAATAGGCAGGGAGGGTGAGAAAGAAGAGAGAAAAGGCAACTTTTAGCGAGCTTTCACTTAGTAAACCTTCACTCGGCATCACCCACCAACTCGCAACCCTAATAAAATATGGGTCCTTTTTCTGCCTCTGGTGACTCTCAGGATGTGCTACATAATTTGTGGGGTCCAGGGCAAAATGATGCCTTGTTCAAACATCATGAGGAATTTCCACAGCGACTGAGGAGCATTAAACAAATACAGGTTGCATGACCAAGAAGACAGATGTAGCATCCGATACTGGCTTGCGCCAGTGAGCTGTGAAGTAAAGCATCTCCCTACTAAAGAAGCGGGTTGTAAAATCTCCTTTCTCCATTTCCCACTTGTTCTGCTTTTCGGCCTGTTGGATGGAAAGGGCTTCCTGCGACATAAATAAAGTGTGACCCAAGCAGCAGCGGCAGCATCTGGGGGCTTGTTAGATATGCAGACTGTCGGGCCCCACCCCAGACTTACTGAATCAGAATCTGTATTTTAACACAACACGATTCCCAGGGGATGCGGGTGGACAGCACAGACTATGAAGTGTCACTGTCGAAGCCGCCACGGAAAACCTCTACCGCTTGCCTCATCGGGCTTTGGGGAGACTCGTCAGCTCTCCCCTCCACCTTCTCTCTCTCAGGCAGGAGCCCGGAAAAGGCTCCCAGACTCCAACCTCCTTCCCCCGAGTTTCCCCTCTAGTCTGGATCGCGGCGGCCTCTCCATCCCGCCACTCCCTGGGGCCACCTGTTCTGGGTCCCTCCCAGCGGTGCTGAGCCAAGTCGTCCGAGACTTGTTTGCGCTCCGCGGGCGCCGCCGGACCCACTGCCCCGCGCGGTAAACTGAGTCTCGGGGACGGTGCGCGCGCGCGAACTAGGCTGGTGGCTCGTGTTCCCAGAGGCGGGCGAAGAGCTAAAGTCGGGGGGGGGGGGAGGGTGCTGAGGCTAAGACATACACCCGGGCGTGCGTTCCCCCGCCGCACCCGAGCCCCCCCCCCCCCCACGGCCCCCTCTCCCGCCGTCGGGGAGACGGGCTCCGGGAGCCCGCAGCTTTGCCTCCTGTTTCTGGGGAGCCCCGCCGGGGCTCGGGCTCGGGACCGCATCCGGGAGGAAGGGAGCGATCGCCCGGCCGTCCCGCGCGGCCGTCCAGGTCCAGGCGCGGCGCCCGGGCCTCCCGCGCCCGTCGGCGGCTCGCCCTCGGGCTGGAGACTCGGAAGCCCGAAGGGACAGACCCCCGCGGGTGCCACACGCTTACCTGCGGGTCCCTGCCGACTGACTGGCGGCTGGCGCCCTCCGGCCCTCCTTTTGCCCTTTGCGTCCAGCCGCGCCCCTCCTACTGCCTGGCCAGTGCCGGGCGCCGCCCCCGCCGCTCCCGGACCGCTCGCCCGCCCGCTCCCCTGCTGCCCAGCGCGGCGTGGCGCGTCCGGCTCTCGCGCGTCGGCGGCGGCGGCGGCGGCGACGGGGCGCGGAGGTGGGGAGCGGGCGGGGCGCGCGGGGGAGGAGAGAGGGTGTGAGTGAGCCGCGCGGGGAGGGCAGCAGGGTTCCCCACCACCACCACCACCACCGCCGCCGCCGGCCGCCCGCGTTTCTAGACCTTTTCGGATGCCCGGGACGCTTCGTGCGCGAGACCCCCTTCCCCACCTCCAGAACCCAGATGCTCCCTCGCAGGGGATGCCCCGGTTCCTATTCAGAGCCTGGCTCAGCCTTGCGGAGTGATGGGTGGCGAGGCCGAAGCGCCCCTCGATCACTTGGGAGGGCGGGAAGTTGGAAAGACCCGTGAAAAGGCAAACGTGAAGGATTAGGGCCCCGCTGAAGGAGCTGTTGCTGCGGGGGTCGAGAAAGTTCTGTCCTCACCACCGCTCGTCCTGCGGAGGTGGATGGGTGTGTGATGGGGGGGGGGCGGGGGGCGGGAGGGGAGTGCAAAGTGAAGTGAGTTGCCCCTCTCCCTTTCCTGTCCGTTAGCATCTCCTGCGTATGTTCAGAGAATAAAAAAGCAGAACTGGCTTGCAGATGGTTTCACCTGTTTGTCCCAGTACCCCAGGTTACCAGTGGAGGTTACCATGCCCAGAGGAGGCATGACTGGATGTCTACAACTAATATGAATTATCTATAAAAAATAAAGGGGGTTAAAGAAGCATTCTGACGTCCCTCCTGGCCCTCAGCTACCATCTTCAGCAAATAAATAACTCCTGTTTGCAAAATGCTTTTAGCACTCTCATTCACACGCATGAAAACCTGATATTCCGTTTTAGTTTACCACCCAAACCAAATTCTAGGTTCTGCATTGCATTCGGTTCTGGAGAGGATGTGTATTAGACACAATGCAAGTGAGATATTTACGCTGCTTGCAGGAGATGGAATTTGTTTAGCCAACACCAACTTATTAACACTCACAACATCCTAGCTGGATCAATGAATGCAAAGTGTTTTCAGAGAGACGTTTGATTGCCAGGATTAAGTGGGAGTGGAGGTCAAAAGCTCAGGCAGTTCAAGTTCATAAGCTTGTGAGTTCAAGTTTGTGATGAGAGAAAAAATACTTTATTTTGACTCCAAAGGATTAACTTGCTTCTGTTGGGAATAACATAATACATATATTTGACTTAGTTTGAAAGAGTTATGTAGAGTTATCAAAACTCTCAAACGCTTACTGTAAGTATAAATTACTACAAGATGTTGAAAAACTATTGACAGACTCTATTTAAACCAGGCATCCAACTATCCTATCCTATGCCATCCCCTTCTCAGGTGTGTGCTCAACACAAATGAGGGTATATGTTTACCAAAGGATATGAACGAGAATGGCCATAGGAGTGTATTTTTAATAGCTCCAGATTGGAAGCTATCCAAATGTCTATCAATAGCAGACTGAATAGAAAACATTGTGGTTATATAGACACAAAGTGAATGTGCAGACAGCAATGAGAACAGAAAAGGTACTCCATGTTAACTATGGACAAACTTTATAATCCATGCTGGGCTATGGAAATAAGATGCAAACACATGGAAACTGTGGTTCTGTGTCTATAAAGTAAGAAATGGGCAAAATTAATCTATTAAGTCAGAAGTCCAGATGGTGATCACTAGGGATGGAAGATTGGAAGAAGTTACAAAGGGGAGGAGAGGACTATGGTGTGCAGGTAATGTCCTTTATCTGGGTGCTACTTGCATGCATCTATTGCTCGAGCGGGCCCAGTAACGTCTCCATTGGAGACTTTGTTGTTACTGTGTCTGTCATATCGAATACTCTCGGTAGCTTGCCGGGCTCTCCGAGAGGGGTGGAGGAATCGAACTCGGGTCGGCCATGTTGGCCGCTTGTAAGGCGAACGCCCTACCCTCTGCCGTGGTAATACAATATTTTCACTTTTCCACACTTAACTAAAAAGCAATAATAAGTGTATCTTGTATAATAAACATTACTTAAATTTCAAACTGATGTCAGATATAAACTGATATCATAATAAAATGCTTTTCCTTAAACAGCTTTGATGAAAGGAAATAAAAAGAAGGAAAGAAAGAAAGAAGAGAAAGAAAGAAATAGAAGAAAGAAGGAAAGAGAAAAGGAAAGAAGGAAGGAAAGAAGGAAGGAAGGAGGGGAAGGAAGGAGGGGAAGGAAGGAAGGAGGGAGGGAGGGATGAAGGAAGGAAGGAAGGAAGGAAGGAAGGAAGGAAGGAAGGAAGAAAAGGAGGGAGGGAAATGAAAGGCAGGAAGGAGAAATGCTTTAGGGTCCAGGATTGGGTTCATGTCAAATGTATGTGAGACCCTGGGACCCATCCCTATCACCACACAAAACAAAGTAAGAATAATAAAAAATCACTTTAGGGCTGGAGAGACAGACAGTAGAGGCATGCAAAGGTGCTTGCCTTGCACGGGGTCATGCTGCTTACTGCAATCCCATCCCTAGGGGTGGTATATCATACCTGAGCACCACCAGGGCTCATGCCTGAGCACTGGGCTAGGGATAGCCCTTGAGCACTTTTGGGTGGAACCTAATCTCTCTCCTCACTAAAAAAAATAACTTCAGAGACACATATCTCAAAAATAAAAGCAAGACAATTTGTAAGCCAAAAAATTTCAATGCATGGTTTGATGTACATCCAGCCAGACATTCATTCTCCTTGACATACAATCAGATCAATAGGACTGTGCCATCAAGATTTACAGGAGAAAGCTGGTGCTGGGGAGGGGAGCATCCAGCCCTCTGCCACTTGGTCCTCTTGTCACACACCTCCACAGGCACTGTCTGGTGACATTAAAGAAGGCAGTGGCTGCTAAGAATTTGCCATTAAACTTCATATACGGCCTGTAAGCTAATGCCCCAACAGCTGGGGTGGTTGGCTCCTGCCCCACGGCTCTTTGAGGCCGTGACAGAATTGAATTCCGGGGCTCTGGTGGAGGACATGTGACAAACACTGGGGAAAGGGAACAAGGAAGTCCTGTCTCCTTGTCCCCTCACACTGCTGGACCCCTGAATGTGGAGATAAGCTCACAGGAGCTCAGGGTTCAACTCTCGCCTTTGAACTTCAGATATAATTTTACTTGTGACCAAATGATCTACAAATACACTGAGCAATGGTCTGTAGCAGAGTCGTTATTTCCTCAAGGAGATGACTAGCAAGAGTACCTGTGTACACCAAGGCACTGGGATGGAGAACTTGACGGAGGAGGAGGAAGAGGAGGAGGAGGAGGAGGAGGAGGAGGAGGAGGAGGAGGAGGAGAAGGGGGTAAGTGATAGTTTATGTTGGGCGCTTTCCTACTTCATAGTTCGTTACTAAATCCTCAGGGCAACTCCAGGATTGTCCAGCAGTAGAAACAGAGGCACCTGCAAGCGAAATAACTTCCTTTAATCCATGGCCAGGAAATGGAAGGAACAGGAGTAGGGGCATTGGGGGCAGTTGGGGTTGGCTTTGGAAACCTTGATTCCTTAATTTCTGAAAGCTGAAAGAGAATTAGGAGAAGAGTGGTTTGGTGTGTACCAGTTTTGCCACTTGACACTTAGACTGCACTGAGTCTCAGTTTCCCCAATTTTTCAAGTACATAGGGAGTAAGAAGGTCCATCTAAACTCCAGTGAGAGTGGCCAAGATTAATTTAGAGTGTTTTAAGTGACCCCTCTGCCCTATTGCCTCCATCAACTCTCACATCAAGAGGTATCTAACAAAACCAGTGTAATAGGAAACAAGCTAAGTCCCTCATCTGCGCACCCTTTCCAGACAATTGTCATCCAAATTACCATGTCTGAACCTCTCCTTTAGTAAAATTCTTGTGCTGGACAGCTGGCTTCAATCACTCATTGATTGCATGAACATTTCTTTCCCAAAGCCTGCAGTATGGGTGAGAATTGGCTGTGCGGTGCTGCAATTACGACAATCATCCCAGAATCTGCATGGCTAAGGCAACAGATATGCATGTCTTATTCCCAGGACCTGTTCTTCACGGGCTAGTGGCTTTGCAGTCATTCAAGGACCCCGGCACGCTGAGTAGCCTCCTTCTCAAATTCTGCTGCCTTGCAAAGGAAAAGAGAGCCATGTCTCTGAGACTGTAAATATTCCCGACCTACTGTGATACGCAACACTTCCGCTCATCAGTTGGAACTAGTGGAGTGGTTGCAGTCAGGCACAAAAGGCCAGGAAATGCAGCTCTATCTGGACCCAGAAAGGGAAATGAAGCAGTAGAAACACTTGCTAAACAGCACTTATGACTACACCCACGATGTACCAGACCTCAAACAGATTAAAATGGGTGAGAAGTGGTCCCAGCCCTCCAGGTACACCAGAGATGTCTCTAGCAATGCCTCCCGTGTGCCCCCAGGCCTTGCTGGATCTAGGTGAGATACCGAGCACTGCCAATGTGAGTGAAGTCACCATGTGATACAGCAGAATTTTTCTCTAGAACATTGTGCTAGTTGTAATGGTGGTGGGCCTATTGCACAATGAAGGAGATTAATAAATCACACACTCTCCTGGGAGGCGAGAAAGGCTCTCTCTTGTGAAAATACTGAATGAAGACAGTTGGACATGTTGTCATTCTGTTTGGTAAAAGTAACAAATGGCAGTTTAATGAAAAATGAAACCAGACTTTGGCTTTGACCAAGATGAGGATGGTAGGACCAGCCCTTTCTGAGAATGTGTTCCAACTTGGGAAGAGCTGACCATGGCTGCTGGCCAACACAAATAATCAAAGAATCCAGAGGAAATGAAAGGGATCCCAGTGGGTCTGCAAACTGGCATGAGCTTGGGCGACTCTCTCCCACCTAACCAGGTAGAGACTGGGAGATGGAAAATGAACCCACCAGCTTCTTCGGGTTCTTCAGAAGATGGGGTACTCCTGAGGCTCGGGCGCGCCCAGCTGAGCCTTAATTGAAGGTCTCTGAAT